GTTTCATTGAGTAAATAGATAACCAACATATCAAACCTTAAATTTGTGTGCGTCTGTGAAATGGCAAAAAACTTCAGTATCCTATATTTTCTATAGTCAACGCTTCAAAAGCCCCATATAGGTCATCAATTTAGTGTTCTAGAACAGGTCTTGTACTAGAATTATTGCTCTCACTTCACCGTGCGTGGCGATATGTAGCATGTGTATCACAATCAATGTTTTCACACATAGGCGCCCCATGCTTGTGCGTTTACATTTGTACGTGCGTTTATTTGGGGGTGGGGGACCTCAACATTTTGTCGGGGGGGATGTTATGTGCTTGGGTGTAACTTTCTTTTTTTTTTTTTTTTTGCAATAAACATTTTTTGTTTTGTTTTTTTTGCTAAACCTTTTTTTTTTCATTACATAGGTAACACAGAGGGGGCATGTGCGCCGCTACCAGGGATGTGTGGGAGCAATCAGACGACAGCTCAGCTGCCCGACTGCTTCCACCTGACATGCAGGAGTCTGCCTGTCAGTTTTATGCACAATCCCGGTGGCTGTAGACACGGATTCTGTGTAAAACTCCTGCTGTCAGGTCTGTATGATGTACAGACCTGGCAACAAAAGGCCTAAATTTCACTGGTGTTCCTTTGTAGACTGCCTAAAAAAACAATTACCCTTGCATATAAAGCTATCAGGATTCTCAACAGCATCCAGGTACTCATTGTGCTTTTGTTAAAGCCTAAGTGCAGTGAAAATAAAAAAAACAAAAAAATCCATAAAAGGGACATAACTTACAGTCAATGTGTCCCTTGTGCTAATGCCTTTTTTGTTAGGTAAAATCTATCTCCATCAATGCCGCTGCCCCAGTCTTATGGGGGTGGCAGGGGTTAATACAAAGTAGAACAAAGGGAGCTGTCATGGGTTCTCATCAAGAGTGTCCTACTACGCGCACCGTCCACCTTATTAGGTACACCTTGCCAGTGAAAAGAAAATATCTCCCACACCTTTACACCACCACCATCAGCCTGAGCCATTAATACAAGGCAGGATGGATCCATGCTTTCATGTTTACTCCAAATTCTGACATCTGAATGTCATAGCAACCAGTCTGCTCATTCTCTTACCTTTTGAACGTGGCATGATTGTGTGTCAGAAAATGCCTTGTTGATATCAAAGTCACTTAAATTCCCTTTCTTCCCCATTCTGATGCTCAGTTTGAACTTCAACAAGTCATCTTTACCACGTCTACATGCCTAAATGCATTGAGTTGCTGCCATGTTACCAAGCAATTGAGCAGGTGTACCTAATAAAGTGGCCAGTGAGTGTATGTCTGTCCTTCCATTCCATTCATAGAAGCAAGTACTATAGCTTCTATGAACGAAAAGCAGTCTATGAATGGAACTGCGAACCTATCAGGCATCTGCCCATTCTCCAATAATAAATCCTGTTTCATTCATAGAAGCTATATTACCGGATTCTATGAATTGAGAAGCTGACCAGAAAGGGTGGGCATAGTCTAAAGCCTGCTGTCAGTTGACGTCACTCAGCCAGTCCAATCTGAAAAGATCCTTACCACATGGTCAATATCCACCCAGGTGCTTGGACCAGTACCTGGCTCAGCCCCTCAGCGATCTGCTAAGAGCTAGAGTCATCCGCTCCTACCCCCTCCACAGCCCAGCGCTCTAGTGAGTGCTGAAGGAACAAAGCAGGGACCTGTGACACAGTCATGACTGCTCAGAGTGGAGGGGGGAATTGAGCAATCAGCAGTGTTTGATCATTCAGTTCTCAGTCTTGGAGCTGGCAAAGAACAGATGCAGCATCAGAACCATGCTGCATCCACCTAGGTGAGAATATGTTTATTTTTTCATAACCCATAATCCTCTGTGTGTATGTATGTGTATATACTGTGTGTATATACAGTGTGTTAGGGTATACAACCACTTTAAGTTAATTATAATACATCAAAGCAAGCATTATAATACATCAAAGCAAATATAAGAATAATGTTCAATAGCAGTGTTATGTTAAGAGGAAAATCATTTAGTTTAAAGCAGAGTTCCACTCTACTTATTTGCTCCCCCCCACTGCTGTAATTGGCACCTTTTAGGGGGAGAGGGGAGCGGGTACCTGGTGTTGACAGGTACCCACTCCCACTTCTGGCTCAGTTTGCCGTGGTAAAGTGAGACGGAAGTTTGGCCCCTTCCATGCTCCCTCAGTCTCCTGGAAACTTTCGCAGGAGCAATCAGGAGGTCCTGCGCGACTCGTGCATGCACAGTAGGGCACCAGGCTGTGAACCCACACATTGTCCCAGCCTGGTGCCCACAGTAGAGATGCCGGCGCTGTGGAGGACAGAAGAAGAGAAGGGACAGCGCGGGTGATTACATCGCTGGATCCCGGGACAGGTAAGTGTGTGTTTATTAAAAGTCAACAGCTACAGTTTGTGTAGCTGCTGACTTTTAATAAACACAAAGGCTGGAACTCCACTTTAAGTGTATCAGTGTATAGTCCCATTCAGTTAAAGACATACAGTATGTTTAACTATACACTTTTGGTAATTGTGTAATTTTTTTTTTTTTTTTTCGTAGAACTTGCATGACTGAATTCATTTATAAAGAGATGTATGAATGATTGCATTATATGTTAAAGCCCAATTGAACTTTCAGCTTAAATTAAAATACATTCCAGGTACATCAAAACAAAAGGTAGTTATTGTCTATAGATTTGTTTTCTTTAAAGTGAATTTCCATTTTTGCTGTCAAATTAGGATAATACCTACTTTATATTTGTTATATGTTCTTATTCACATAGCATAAAATGGCAAATTGCTGCTTACATTTTAGTTGCTTTTATTTATTTTATTTTTTTTGAAAATCACAAAACTACAGTTTTTCTCTGCAATGCAGTGGAGGCTGGGGAGTAAATATTTGTCATAATTAACCCGATAACCCAGTCTGTGCTGTGTTGGCAGATCTCATTGTTAGTTGTAAACTTGATTTGACCATTATCTGTCCCAAAAAAGTCTTAACCACTTGCCCTCCAGAGGATTTACCCCCCTCCCTGACCAGGCCATTTTTTACAATATGGCGCTGCATTACTTTGACTGACAATTGCGTGGTCATGCAACACTGCAACCAAATTAAATTTATGTGCTTTTTTTCCCCCCACAAATGGAGCTTTCTTTTGGTGGTATTTGATCGCCTCTGCATTTTTTTTTTTTTTTTTTTTTTTTGCACTATATACAAAATAAAAACAAAAACTTTTTTTTGCGAAAAAAAAAACAATATTTTTGACTTTTTGCTATTAAACCTGTCCAGTAAAAAAAATGTTAAAAATCTAATTTCGGCATAAAGTTAGGCCAAAATGTATTCTGCTACATGTCTATGTGAAAAACAAAATCCCAATACGTGTAAATTAATTGGTTTACTTGAAAGTTATAGCGTCTACAAATGGCAGTATAGATAGTGGAATTTTATTTATTTTTTTTTAATACTACTACTAATGGCGGCGATCAGCGACTTATAGCAGGACTGCGGCGGGCATTCTGACACTTGGGGGGGGGGGGGGGGGGGGGGTCACTGACATCCCCAGTGACACTAATGCAGTGATAAGTGCTAGTGACACTGGGCAGGAAGGGGTCAACATCTGGGGCGATCAAAAACTTAACTGTGTGCTGTTTGTGTGTGTGTTTTACAGTGTAAGCACATTGCTTTGTATAGCTCTGCTATCCAGAGCAATGCAAAGCAGTGTGCTGGAGCTGATAGGGGAGATATCTGTATTGTTTACATACAGACCTTTCCCCTGTTGGTGATACTCGACGATTGCTGTGTGCTGGTGGGGAATCACTGGCTAGGACCCGGTGATCGACAGCTGAAACCGCCAATGGCAGTGTGTGTAGGGCGCGCGTGCCCCCTTCCCGGAAATGCTAAATCACGTATATGTACCGGTACGTGATTTTGCACAACCCTGCTGCCCCGTAGCAGTATTTCTGCTATAGGACGGTGGGCAAACGATTAAAGATCTATAAGCTGGGCTTCAGCATTGCAGGTGAAAACCCCATGTGTCCCTTTTTGGCAGTGGTGACAGACTCATTTCAAATTCTTTGCAGTAGCTAGCAGTCTGACGGAGGTCTGCTTCAAACAAACTCTTAGAAAAGTAAGAAACATATATTTTATATAATTATTTTTTGGCATGCTGTGTGAATGGGAACATATACCAAACATATAGTGGGGTTTTCTCACGATTGAATGCAAAAGTGAAAATACATTTTAAAATCTCACACATCATGAGTAAAACACTCTGTCCCCTTCCAACATGCTGTAGCGAAGGACCCTTGCTCACTGTGTGGAGGCAGTGGTCTCTCTGCAGAGGTCTGACACACCTCCAAGTCAAAACCAAAGCTCTCCAATCAGCAGGGTGCCTGGGTTGTATTCAGCTGATTTAAACTGAAGGTAAGTTTTATCTGCTTATATTTTGCTTTTCCAGGTTACATCTAGTTTTGATCTTCATTAGCATTATAGTAAAATTTTTAAATTTAAATATGTCATTACAGATTTGTAATGCAGACAGGTCATGACTGGTAGGGTGCTCTACATAATTTCCCGATAATACAGCACTCTGCCTTGGTACGCCTGTCAAGAGCTCTCTGAGAACAGTTGGCTAGCTCCTGGGAGGAGTTATGCAAATATTAACCACTAGCCTACAGGGCACATATACCCTCTTCCTGCCCAGGCCAATTTCCAGCTTTCAGCGCTGTTGCACTTTGAATTACAATTGCGCTGTCATGCAACATGTGACAGATAGAGCTTTATTTTGGTGGTATTTAATCACCTCTGGGTTTTTTATTTTTTCTTAAACTAACCAAAAACCACTGAAAATTTTAGAAAAAAAAATGTTTTTTCTTAGTTTTTGTTATAACATTTTGTAAATAAGTGATTTTTCTCCTTCACTGATGTGCGCTAATGAGGCTGCAGTGATGGGCACTGATAGGCTGCACTGATGGACACTGATAGGTGGCACTGATGAGGAGGCACTGGTAGGTGGCACTGATGGGCATTGAGGGCATCACTGATGGGCACTGATAGGCGGCACTGACTGGCACTGTTAGTGCCGCCTATCAGTGCCGCCTGACTGGCACTTATAGGCGGCACTGATAGGTGGCACTGACTGGCACTGATGGGTGACAATGAAAGGCAGCTCAGATGGGCACTGATATGTGGCATTGATGTGGAACTGATGGATGGCACTGATGGACACTGACAGGTGGCACTGCTGGGTCTACACAGATCATCAGGGCACACTGATCAGTGCTCTGATGATCTGTGTACATGTCCCCTCTGAGGAATGTCGATTACCGGCTCTCCTCTCCTCACGAGCTGTCAGTGTGACAGCCCGTGAGGAGAGAAATGCCGATAACCGGTATTTCCCTGTTTACATGTGATCAGCTGTGATTGGACACAGCTGATCACATGACCAAGCCAACATCTTCAGCTTTTTCTGTTGATCGGTGATCCACTGTGTCGGAGGGACACAGCGCACCGCCGATTGCCGCGCGGTTAGAGTGGGAGGACATCATTTGATGTCCTCCCAGAATGAGAAAACCGCCTTGCATCCGTCTTTCTACTGTGTGGCAGGCGGGAGGTGGTTAAAAAGCTTTCATGGGTGGATATCGATCTGAAGGAGAGAAGGTTTCAAGCCAAGGCCGCATTTGCGTACAGACTGCCCTCATGCCCTAATGCCCATACAGTATATGATCCTGAGCCTCCATGAATGAAATAACTAAAATTCAAAAAATGAAAGGGATGTGCCAGGTACAGTTAGTTTTGGGGATGAAAGCACTAGATGATCCTGGATGTCCTCCAAACATGAAATGAGGTGGACCCTATCTGAGTCATTTTAGTACAGGAGAAGTGACTATACAACTGTGCAAGAATGAAATTAAGGCTGGCGTTCAACTTTAAACAACAATGGGAAATTGCATTTTTTTTATATGACTGCCATGTAATTACTTATAATCAGGAGATTAATGATTTGACATACCAACTCATCAAACATGTTTGAACATATTATATATAATTGTTTTTCCTATGCATGATTGTGGGATTTTGCAGTTGGTGTTTTTTTTTTTTTTATTTTTTTTTTTGGGCTAAACTAGGCTTCCAGTTATTTCTGCCTAGTGTCTTCAGGAGTGTGGACGTGTTGTTTTTCTGCTCCGACTTGTGGTCCCACAGATTTTTTTTTTTTTTCCTTTTTTCTTGGAAATTTTTGCCTTTTTTTTTTTTTTTTTTTTTTTTTTCATGGAGATCTTCTATCAATAGTCGGCTGGGCGACAGGCTGGATAATCTAGATCTAGTGGTCACCCCGTCTGACCAGTGCGTGCACACAGACCGCCAGCTCTGCGAACGGTTTGCTGCAACTCTGCCCCATCCTGGACCAGGGCGGCCAGCAAATTCAACGTCTTGCCAGGACACATATGACCGTGTGTCTGACAATACATCAGTAGCAGATCCTTTAAGCCCGCTAAATTGTGAGGTGGGGCCTCCTTAGATTTGACTTTTTTCCAGCACATCCCACAGATGCTTGACTGTAGAGATGTTGAATTACCATTGCCCGCCGCCCGGGTCATGTTCCGGGCGATGGACAGGTAGTTTTTTTTCTACCTTTAGCCCTGCTGCCGACTATTGCTTCCACACAGTGCCAGCCTCTCCGTGCCCCCATCCCTCCCCTGTGAGGCATCCTGGGCTCCGCTTGCCCATCTGCCCTATGTGATGGAAAAAAAAAAAAGTGAAAATAAAGTTGTATTTCATTGTAAAAAATGAAAGTTACACCCAATCACATACCACCTTCCCAAAAAAAAATATTGAGGCCCCCGCCCCCACCCCCACATAGACGCATGTACAAACGTAAAAGCACACGCTGGGGCGCCTACGCATGAAACCGTCAATTGCGATACACATGTCACTTATCATCGTGCATGCCAGACCTCCTCCATAACACTAAACTGGTGACCTATAAGTAGCTTTAAAAGTGTCGACCTATAGAAAATATAGGGTACTGAAGTTTGTCACCATTTCATGAGCGCGCACAATTTAAGGTTTGACAAGTTGGATATCTGTTTACTCGCTGCAACCTCATCTTTTATATTTTACAAAATAATATGGTAATTTATTGCTTTCTTCACTGTATATCTCTTACTCATGTCATACAATCCATATTGATCAGTTGGAAATCATTACCACTTTCGATTCCAGCTATTCAGGTGAATAAAGTGTAGTATAAGTGTTTTTTTTGCCAAAAGGATTCCTCTGATGTTTAAGCAATGGAGTCCAGTCACTCTTGTGATTACCTGAAACGTAAAAAACATTACTATAGCAGAAGTACTGCTACAGGGCGGCATGGGTGCGCAAAATCACGTGTATATATACGTGATTTTGCAGTTCCTGGTAGGGGGCACACGCCCTACCTGCGCCACGGCGAGTAATCACTGGTCTTGACCAGTGATTACTCGCCACCACACGGTGATCACTGAGTATCTCCGATGGGGGAGAGACCTGTATGTAAACAATACAGATCTCTCCCGTCAGCTCCTGCACACTGCTTTGTATGGCTCTAAATAGCAAAGCCATACAAATCAGTATGCTTGCAGTTAAATGCACATACAGCTCACGGAGTAAAACCGCACACAGTTAACCTTTTGATCGCTTCACATGTTAACCCCTTCCTGCCCAGTGCCATTAGTGCAATGTCAGTGCTTCTTATTAGCAATGATCACTGTACTAGTGTCACTGGGGATGCCGGTGACACCAAATCAGTCCCCCCCCCCCAGTGTCAGAATGCCCGCTGCAGTCCCCCTATAAGTCTCTGATTGCTACCATTACTAGTAAAAAAAAAAATTTTTTTTTTAAATTTCAGTATATATACCGCCATTTGTAAATGCTATAACTTTCATGTAAACCAATTAATTTGCACGTATTGGGACTTTTTTTTTTTTTTTTTGCAAAGACATGTAGCAGAATACATTGTGGCCTAAAGTTATGACGAAATTAGATTTTTGTAAAAAATTTTTACTGTACATGTTTAATAGCAAAAAGTGAAAAATACAGTTTTTCTCAAAATTGTCAGCCTTTTTTTTTTTCTAGCACAACAAATAACCACACAGCCAATCAAATACCACCGAAAGAAAGATCTATTTGTGTGGAAAAAAGGCATAAATTTATTTGGGTACAGTGTTGCATGACCACGCAATTGTCAGTTAACCTCCCTAGCGGTATGATTATGTCAGTATTTCTGTGCTCAAGGCGTGGAAATATGTCTTTTTTTTTTTTTTTTTTTTTTTTTTTTTTTTTTTTTTTTATATGTAGGCCTGTAATTTTTAGGAATAACTCACTGAAATCTGTCCGAACAAGAGTCTACTAAACATCCCGGGTATGATAACATTTGAAACACGAAATCATAAATTATAATATAATAAATAATCATAAAAAAATTAATATAATTTAGTTCAATAATGTAATCAAACCAAAAACACTGAAATTTGAAATAGAGCGCCAAGTTCGCACATCACTGAGCTTAGTCGCAAAATCGTTTTCAGTGTCTGATGACGAATTTCCCCACGAATCATCACTCAATTCTGCAAGTGGTTCTAATTTTTTATCGCTGTTCTCTAGCTGGTCTAAAACCTCTTTTGACCAAAAGGGACGCTTTTTGGAAGCCATGGACTTTTCTTCGTTTCCAAACAGAAAGAACAGTAAAAATGCAGGCAGGGTACAGGACAAAGCACTAAGGATAAAAGGTATATGAAATGGTTTGATACAGTAATGTTTTACTATGTAATTTTAGTGTATTGAGTGAATGTCACTTTTAAAATTTTTGAATTTCTCACCGGTTCCGTCCCTCATATGTCCCGACGCTCGCAGGGACCGGAAGACCGATGCCGGCATCAGCCAGAGGAGATGGCCGGGGACGCTGCAGGGGGGACATCGCGGGAGCGAAGGACAAGGTAAGTGCAAGAGGGATCCCGAAGCAAAGCTGCAGGGTAATCCTGAGTGTAGCTTGGGGTTACCGCTTTTGGTACTGAAAGTTTACCCCGAGCTACACTCAGGAATACCACCAGGGAGGTTAAAGTAATGCAGCGCCGTATCACAAAAAATGGCCTGGTCATGAAGGGGCATAAATTCTCTGGAGGGCAAGTGGTTAAATTACATACGCCCATGGAACGGCGACAAACTACAGTACCTTTTTAAAATCTCCATTGATGAAGCTGTAAAAAACCTTTACAAGTTATCAGTTTAGAGTTAAACAGTAGGTGTGGTGGTACAACTATTTGCTCTCACAGTAATACCTCACGCGTGTCGTGCAATCATGGTTTACTTATGCGTGTGGTATGTATACATTTGCACATTAGCCCGGGGGGAAGGGGGCACTTTACATTTTTTGTTAATTTTATTATTTAATTTATTTAAAACTTTACACTGTCTTTTTATTTATTTATTTTTGGATCAATTTTATTCCTATTAGAAGGAATGAACAACATCCCTTGTGATGGCGTGGGTAGAGACAGGTGCTCTTTACTGAAAGATCTGGGGTCTATTAGCATCTGAGATTGGTTTGATCAGATGATTTACAAGCCAGTAATGGCATGTAAGCATCAAACTGAAACTGGGCATAACAAAATCCTAGTTGCTTCCAGATTATTACTTTACAGAGGAGAGGCAGGTATGGATGTTCCTGCCTCCCCTCTCACTTCAGAAGTGCATCAAGTGGCAGTGGTACTGGACTCTCGGATCGCACGGGAGAGCCTTGTAAAGGCCACGGGAAGGAGGGGGGTCCAATTCTGCGTTCTGTAGAAGTGATCGAGCGGTACTGGGATGATGGCTGCAGCTCCCGGTATAAACACTTCAACCCAAGGACATAGAAGCATGTCTTATGGTGTTGAAGTGGTTAACTACCACTACAACTTGCCACCAATGTGGGAAGGTGGGTGGGGGTAATACTTACCACTGACCTAAATCCTGGGGTTTATTTTTGGGGTGTCTGACACCAGTGCAGGGGATTATTATTGCCCCCATTGACCCCAGTGTTGGGTATTTTTATTGTATCCAATAACTTTTACTGACATCATTGGTGGAGCTTATTTTACTACCACTCTCTCTACAGTGCATGTTGCTATATGGTACAGAAATGCAGCAGGACTGAAATTTCTGGAAACTGAGGTCTGCTACAGTCTTAATAATTTTGAGTGGACTACCTAATACCAAAATGCACCTCAAGCCCTGAAAACAAATGTGAGACCCTTTCAAAGCATCAGTGGCTGTATTCGAGGCCCTTAATACATTTAAAGTTGACCACCGCGACTTGAACGCACCCTTCAGCATTCTCCCAAAGTCTTCATACTCTTTTGTCCGCACGTCTATCATATCTTCACTGTGTAGTCCACTGGGAGGCTTAAAGATACCACTGCAAAGTCTCTCGGCCAGACAGCTGCTTCTTCTGATCATGCATGTAAGAATC